GTGTGTGATATTAATGATACTAGATAATTTCCACATTCTGTTGAATCACATAACTTTGGAAGGGGTACAAACATGGATCTCTTTCAGTTTGTTGGCCAGGTAAGATGTCTTCCAAATTTCTTGGCATGGATGAGTGATTCCAGTGTTGCATGAGTTGGCTGAAACATCTCGATTCCATCAATTCCTGGAACCTTGTTTTTTTCTGATGCCTTCAGTCAGCTTGTACTTAACGTCTTCCTTCAGTATCATTGGTTCTTTTTTTTTTTTTTAAGTTTTTATTGTGAATTGAGTGAAAGGTCATAGGGCAGATCATCTGTTTCACATTCAAATCATATACTTTGTTTCATTACAATAATTCCCTTCTTGTATCATCACTTAACAGTATATACATATTTTTTTTAAACATTCAGGCATATGTAATAATTTATCCCACCAAAGGGCACATTCTGCAAGTCTGCCTCCTGGCCGCCAGCTCTCAGTCCCTTTTCCCATGTATCTAGAGTCCTCAACTGCTCCCTCTCTCCATGTCCCCATCTCTCGTGTTGCTTGCTACCTCTTTGGATAAGGTCAAGGCCCCATATTCTGCTTGTGCTCTTCTCCCTTGATGGTCCTGTAAGGTTAACAGCTCCCTTGGTTTTGTTACAAAACCTCTACCTACAATTGTGACAGCCGCAATTAGTCATGATAACAGTTACTCACTGTTGAATCATAAGAATCTTATTCCCCATATCTTTTTTTTTTTTTTTTTAATAGATTTTCTTTTTAATGGTTTTTCCATTAATATCAGACTTCAGTGTTAGGAAGACATAAAGGAGAGAGAGGGAGGCATGTTGTCCAGAAGAAAAAAGTGTTACGATCTTAAATAGTAGACATTTGTGTTCAGAGAAAGTGCTTATGTAGATGAGGTTGTAACTTTGGTCCCCAGCCATCGGCACAGGGAAGGAGCTCAGGTACAACTCTTGCTTCCTCTCTGTGTCCAAACAGGAGGGTGAGGGTGGCCACTCTCACGCTCTGGCAATGTCCCTCCCACTATGAGTTGGGCATCCAAGTGTAGCTTCCCTAACTTAGCTATCATCAGGAAAATCATTCAATTAGATGATTTTTATACCATACAGTGATTCCTTGATGGCAT